CCCTCCCCCCCAGCTTCCTCTCCTCATAGCTCGCCCATACTTCCATTTCATACCCCTGACACCTGCATCATCTTGGACTCGGACAGGAACCCCTAGAATGACCTGCAGGTACTGGGGATGCTCCCCTGCCCCGCACCCCGTTCTCTGCTTCCCCAGGAGCTAACGGGGGTCGTGTCCTCTTCCTGTACCCCCATGGCGCCCTTCTCTCTCCTGCTCCCCTCTGTTTGCAGGGCCCCAAACCCCTGGGTCATCTCTGACCCCAGGGTCTGCCCCTGGCTGAGCATGCTCTGGGCTCCCCAGGCAGGTGCACCCTGACACCCCTCTCCTCCAGGCGCAGGCGCGCTGCCACCGGATCGGGCAGAGCAAGGCTGTGAAGGTCTATCGCCTCATCACCCGCAACTCCTACGAGCGCGAGATGTTCGACAAGGCCAGCCTCAAGCTGGGCCTGGACAAGGCCGTGCTGCAGTCCATGAGCGGGCGCGAGGGCAGCATCGCCGGGGTGAGTGGGGGGCGGGGGCGGGTCAGGGCTGCTGCCTCTGCTAACGCTCCCCAGCACAGCCCAGAGGTGCTGCTGTCGGCACAGGGCCCCTCTGGGCTCGGGACTCCCTGCGGGCGGCCAGGCAGGGGGTGTGAGCGAACCCCGGGGCAGCATGGTGGGGAGCCAGCTCCCAGGGCTGGCGGCGCCCGTGTGAACGGTCCCCCCACGCCCCCAGATCCAGCAGTTCTCCAAGAAGGAAATCGAGGACTTGCTGCGCAAGGGGGCCTACGCGGCTATCATGGAGGAGGACGATGAGGGTTCCAAGTTCTGCGAGGAGGATATTGACCAGATCCTGCTGCGCCGTACGACCACCATCACCATCGAGAGCGAGGGCAAGGGCTCCACCTTCGCCAAGGTACCCGGGCCACCCCCCTCCCTGCCAGATCCCTCCCCATGGAGAGCGAGGGCAAGGGCTCCACCTTCGCCAAGGTACCCGGGCCACCCCCCTCCCTGCCAGATCCCTCCCCATGGAGAGCGAGGGCCGGGGCTCCACCTTCGCCAAGGTACCCCGACCACCCCCTCCCTGCCAGACCCCTCCCCACGGAGAGCGGGGGCCGGGGCTCCACCTTCGCCAAGGTACCCCGACCACCCCCTCCCTGCCAGACACCTTCCCCACGGAGAGTGAGGGCCGGGGCTCCACCTTCGCCAAGGTACCCCGACCACCCCCTCCCTGCCAGATCCCTCCCCATGGAGAGCGAGGGCCGGGGCTCCACCTTCGCCAAGGTACCCCGACCACCCCCTCCCTGCCAGATCCCTCCCCATGGAGAGCGAGGGCAAGGGCTCCACCTTCGCCAAGGTACCCCGACCACCCCCTCCCTGCCAGATCCCTCCCCACGGAGAGCGAGGGCCAGGGCTCCACCTTCGCCAAGGTACCCCGACCACCCCCTCCCTGCCAGATCCCTCCCCACGGAGAGCGAGGGCCGGGGCTCCACCTTTGCCAAGGTACCCCGACCACCCCCTCCCTGCCAGATCCCTCCCCATGGAGAGCGAGGGCCGGGGCTCCACCTTCGCCAAGGTACCCGGACCACCCCCTCCCTGCCAGACCCCTCCCCATGGAGAGCGGGGGCCGGGGCTCCACCTTCGCCAAGGTACCCCGACCACCCCCTCCCTGCCAGACCCCTCCCCATGGAGAGCGAGGGCCGGGGCTCCACCTTCGCCAAGGTACCCGGACCACCCCCTCCCTGCCAGACCCCTCCCCATGGAGAGCGGGGGCCGGGGCCCCGA